CACACACACACACACACACACACACACAAATAAATAAAATTTAAAAAAATTAAAAGGGGACTGTAGACCCAGCTTGGGAGCAGGAACTCATGCACCCTGGCACCTTCTCCTTCCCTCTCCAGCATGTGGCCTCCATCTAGAAAAAGTGTGGGAGGGGGCAGGAGGAGCCGCCTGAGCTGTCCTGCCTGTCCTGCCTGTCATGCCTGTCCCTCGTGGTGCGTCACAGGGCTCAGGACGTGGGAGCCGGCAGCAAAGGCACCATAGCTGTGGGGATGTGACCTATGGCCATTTGGGTCCCTGGTAGAGACCTCACAAATGCAGAAGGTCATTGCTGTGATCATTATAATGCTCTATAAGGTTTTTTAAAAATTTTTTGGGGGCCAGGGAGATGGCTCAGTGGAATAAGTGCTTCCCTGGCAAGTACAAGGGCCTGAGCTCAACCCCGGTTCTGAAAAAAAAAAAAAAAAAAAAATTAAAAGGTATTTATTTGATGCAGGGTCTTGCTATGCAGTTCAGACTCATAGTGATCCTCCTGTCTCAGCCTCCCCAGCCCAGTTCCAAGGCCGCCACAGGGTGTGGTATCCAGGATTGAACTCAGGACCTTGCGCTTGCCAGGCAGCCCCGTATGTCACCAAGCTATCTCTCGAGCCCTTTCCCCTTTTTTTGAGACAGGTCCTCATTACGCAGTCAGGCTGGCCTTGAACTTGCAGGAATCCTCCTGCATCAGCCTTCTGAGTGCTGAGATCGCAGGCGTGTGCCGCCACTGCTCCTGCTTTAGACGGCATCCCAGTTTTTCATCCGAGAAGTGACTCCATCCAGACCCGGGAAGCTGAGCTGTCCTCAGGCCTGAACACTGCCGTGTAGGAGCTGGAGCTGACTCCCCGGAGCGGAGGCTGTGTGGGGTGTTCCTTTCTGCAGGAGCCCACCTTTTAGCTTCTGGCCAGTTTAAACATCTGTTATTACCCACAGTTTTCAAAAGGGCCGTTTGTCACCAAAACCTGTTAACCTGCCAGAGCCTGGGCTGTCCTCCCCGGCCCTGGAGGTGCCCACACGTTGCTGCCCGTGCTCCAGTCCGAATGGTGTGGGCTGGGATGCCAGAGGGGTTTTCTGGGTGACTCAGCCAGGTGAGCACAGTGACCCCAGCGGAGCAGGGCCCATCTGCAAGGCTGAACAAGGCACTAGGGACACAGAAAGCCCAGCTCTGAGCTGCCTGGGTTCTGAGCCCCGCTCTGCTGCCTGCCAACCAGTGTGACCCCAGGCAAATTAATTCCGTGTTCTGTGCCTCCCTTCTAGGGAAAAGTGAGGTTCATTCCGCAGCCTAAGTGAGCTGGTTGGCAACCGTGCCTCCCACAGTGAGTACTGTGGGCTGCTGTCCTCACGGTCCTCAGTGAGCAGCCCTACAGCAGGGTGTGGTGGTGTACACCTGTAATCCCAGCACTTAGGAGGCTGAGGCAGGAGGATCTTTGCAAGTCTGAGCCAGCCTGGGCTACAAAGTGAGTTCAGAGCACTGGCCAAATAGCTCAGTGGATTAAAGTGCCTAGGCAAACGCAGCAGCTAGTGTTTCGATCCTGGTGTGCCATGCTGGCCTTCCCTCTGGGGCGCACTGAGTCTGTGAGGTGATTGAGACTGGGTGTGGTGGCGCATACCTGTAATCCCATACCTGTAATCCCACACCTGTAATTTTCCACTGAGATAGAGAGGCTTAAAATCAGGAGAATCACTAGGAGTCCAATCTACATAGTGAGACCCTGTAGACCCTTACTAAAAATACAAAACAAAAAAGTATTTAAAAAAAAGTGAGTTCAAGGCTAGCCTGAACTACATAGTGAGACTCTGTCTCAAAAAGACAAAAGAATGGGCTGGGGAGATGGTTCAGTAGAATAAGCCCTTGCCTGGCAAACACAAGGGCCTGAGTTCAATCTCTGGTTCTGCAAAAAAAAAAAAAAAAAAAAAAAAAAAAAAGGACAAAAGGATGAAAACCTTCCCCAAATATCTCTTGGGCCCTTGCAAACATGAGCATGGATAATCTCCATGAACCTCACAATCCCAAGAAATGAAGCACAGGGCTAATGAGATGGCTCAGTGGTCTAAAGCACCTACTTAGAACAAGCTTAGCAAAGCACAGGGACTGCGGTTCAATCCCCCAGCACCACATGCCAGCCAGC